TATATATATATATATATATATATATATATATATATATATATATATATGACAGAGCTCATGGAAGTAATTATTGTACTTTAAAATTCATAGCGCTCAATTGCTGCAACTTGCACAAATGATCCTTATCATGTTCATATCTGAACACAGTCATGATACACATTTTTAGATTTAGTGAGACTCCACTCCACCTTCCGAGGATATCATCATCTCGGACCTGCATTGCAAATAAACATATATACATCTGCTTAGAAATCATAGGAAAAACAGACACTGCAGAACTTTGTTTTCTTCAGTATGAAAGTAATCCAGTGGTAGTTGTCTGTACATGCATAGGTACGCTGCAAACAAGAACCACTGGTAGTTAATTTGGCAGACTTTCAAAGGTGTCAGTTGGCCAAAATGAAAACAAATAGAGGCTAAAATAAGGAGCTCCTTGGTGTTCATTAATCTTCTTAGTCTGGCTTTAAATTGAAATTTGCACACCTGAATCTTTGATAGAGAAATTGCACTTTAGAAAACCCCATAGTGCAAACAATAACCTCTGTTTTTTTACAATCTTTGTTCTTACCAGGTGTCTTGGATATGGGAACCCATTGATGGTCAAAGGGACAACATTGCTGTGTACCACCCTATCTACGGACAGAGTTTTCCCAACTTGTCCTTCAAGGAACGAGTTATCTTCCTCCACAACAATCTGGAGAACCCGTCCATTAGAATCTCTCAGCTGAAAATGTCCGACGCCGGCCGGTACACCTGCGAGTATGCCACCTACCCTTCTGGAAACGAACAGGGGACGACCAGCCTCGTCATGCTCGGTGAGTAGAGGGGTTGCACGTCCACGAAACACTCCATAAACCTTGTTACTCCTACAGAAACAACAAGCTGCTGTATATTTCAGATAATGCTGTTTTTATCTAACAAGGACCTTAAAGAGGGCCATGTTCCAAACAGGCACTCAAAAGCCGTTCTGCTACATGGGCCTTGACAAACTCCTCCCCAGCCATCTGCTTATCACTGCTTCCTACAAAAGAGCTCCCATCGGACCCAAACCCTTAAAAGAGGCAATTTAAAGCATTTGACGAGTATTCTCAGGGTGCGTCCTGGTTACATGCCGAATGAAAAACAAAGAAGCTTGGTTACAAAGATTGAGATTCAGACATGGCACTAGATGTAAAGTATGTGTGATCAGGTTGAGTTAACAGGTTGTTGAGTTTGTTTTACTCTACATATTGGTGGACTTTGTTTTAGTAAATTCATTTGATTACTATAATTACATTGAAGGAAATGCCTAAACCCAGGTTAATCTTTGAAAGTCAAGATTCAATGAAAAAGGCTTTGTGAACCCTTTTAGATCATATTGTGCACATATTTCGATTTAAAGTAACACTTAAAGAGTTTGTTTTTTAAGCTGTGAACTAAATGACATGACTGTACTGTGATGAAATACATCAATGCTGGTGTTGGTGTGGACATTTCTTACCAAATTTATTTAAGAAAATGGCATCTCATGGTTGAAAATAGTTCAAAACGCCGTCTAATTCTAACGCTTGCTAATTCCACCATGTTTGCGCAACACTGGTTCCAGACAATCAGGGGGACAGCAGGCTGCTGACCGCTAGGAGACCACAGGAGAGCAGACGGCCGCTCCGGAGGCGCTAGGGTTTGCGCTAGCTAGATTTGAGGCTCTCCTCCCGGCAATGTAGTCTTCCAGCGGCAGGAATTGAGGCGGAGGGGACAAGAGGGGTAATTATTGTCTCATTTGTGGTCTAATAAACCGTAGGTCAAATGTAGTGCCACATGCCGTATTACTATTTACCAAACTACTGGAGGTGTCATATTTGTCGACACTGCGCCAAGGCTTTTGTCATTCGAAAGTGGCCGTGGTTTCATCTCTCAGCCCCTTGCACACTTTTTTTTAGCTTTCTTCAAAGTTATGCCGTGGCGGGACTATAGGCTTAGACCTGGGGAGGGGAAGTTACACTACTACTTGCAAAAAAATTGACAAAAAAAATCAAATTCTTTGTATATCTATATCACCATCCAATCATCTTGTCTTCCTGTAAAACAAAATGCGACGTGTGCTTTTATAAGCTACCACCGACCCATTTCAACCACTAATGTCATGACATCCATCCATCAGTCTGCAGCTTTTAGTGACAAGCGAGGTGTGTGTGGAGCATAGACTGTATATAAGAAGTGGACGTAGTCATCGTGACGTCATGCATTGGGTTTTGGACTGACGGTTTGAAGCCTCGAGTCCGCTGAATTTGCCGTCGCCATCTTGGACTACGACCGTCGCCATGTGTTTTTTTTCGCAATCAATGGACAGAAGTTACCATGTTTAGAATGCAGAGGAGCGATGTAGAGACGCCGTTTAGGGCGACCTGTCAATCATAGTAAGCCCGCCCTAAAGCATACTCTGCTTTATGGTCTATTTGACTCTAAATGGACCATAATGTACTAAATGAACATCATGCTGTATTGAAGAAGACTTGAAACTAGAGATTGAGACCATAAACTCATGTTTACAATGTTTACTGAGGTAATAAATCAAGAGAGAAGTAGAGTCATTTTCTCATAGACTTCTGTGCAATCTGTCTTATTTTCCAGAGAATGCAAGTTTTAAGACACCTCCGCATTGGCTCCACTCGGCAGAACCGGAGGTTGCCACCTGGTGTGAAGTCACAGCACTCTTTAGCCCAGTATTACACTACATTTCAAGCCCATCCACTTTTTAGAGGTCCAATCAAATGCGCAGGATCAGATAGCTCTCGTAACTCTACACCGCCCCTAATATTCTGTTTCATTCGAGAACACTCACACTACTGAAGCTAGAGACGCTCTAACTTCCGTTTCACTTGGACCTTAAAGCATGACAGTGAGCTCCATGTTGAGTCACATTTAGATAGCGGATGTGTATATGCTAAAAGCCGATTAAGCTCACGTTTATGGTTAGCATTCATTCTTCTTCAAACAATAACTGGAGGTAATGTTGTATTTATTTGATATCTATGTCAGTCTGATGAAAGAGTGATTTGGCACAGTGAGATCCAAATGTAACAAGCGAGTATCCCTTTTGCTGTAATCTCACTGTCTCCTTGTTGCTTTTGTTGACTTGCTTACACAACGTTGCATTGTACGTCGTGTTATCATAGTGAAAGTTTTTTTAATGAAAGTAGCTGAATAGATGATGGCCTTTGCTGCAATAACTTGCCATTGCGTTGTCACATTTTGTACACAAGTGCAGCACCAGGGTCAACATCTGATGTGACCTTCTTGACATATTTGAACACTTAGACCTTTCGGTTTAATTAGAGTTTGATCTGTTTTGGCCAAATGTCTGAATTAATTACCTCGAGGACCCTAATTGTGATAATCAGATGAAAACTATTAACATAATCTCACCAGGAGGACGGGAGGCAGAGACATGTGGACAGATGCTTTCATTTCATATTGCTACAGCTCCGCTAATTGAAGATCTATATCCAGGAAGAGGAGACGTCATTTTCTCGTTGATGCCACTTTTGGATTTGATCCAATAATTAAACTATCAATAAGTACACAGACTGTACAGCCCTGGTGAGTGTCACACTAAAAACACAAATGGCAAACGTGAACTATAGACAGACGTAGTTTTGTTGAGTTCTGTTTAATCTTGTCCTGCTGTTAGTTAGTAGTTTTAAAACGGCTGACTGTAAATGTAGATTGTATGGACCCTGTAGTTGAGGTAAAATTCTGACCCCTGTTTCTTTAAATCATGTGGCCAAGTATAACACATTGCACCTTTAAGGTACTTTGAAGCCCTTATCCCAAAATGGCATTCCTTCTCCGAATTATTATGCAGTCAAATCTGGATGTACAGATATGTTATACATATTCTTACATCCAGTTTAGAAATCATCGACAGAAGCTACTTATATAGTTCTGGAGTACAACTCCAGATCTTGCCTGAGAGTATCATAGTAACCCAGTGATAGTTTTCTGTACATACATGAGTACACTGCAGAAAGGAAGTAGCTAATAGTTCCAATTTGCCCAAATGCAAAACACATAACCACAACATGTAAGTCACTGACTCCATTACATTTCCTAAAGCCACCAAATTATGATTATGATTGATTATCATAATCATGCCCCAAGTAAGACAAAGAATATTACTAGGAGAGCTCAAAATCCATTCATAGCATTATGTAAAATTTGTAAGTTTCAGAAATGCCAATCAACATGCTTGTTATATTCCGGGATCACTGGCATTCCTCCCTGTCCATTCATAAACTACGGTGGCCCTGAGAGCTCAACGCACTGCAAAACAAGAAAACACATGCCAATATAGGCAACACAACACATGTAGCATAATTTACACATATTTGCCATGTTGAAAACCCGTGGACATTAGGTGGCAACCTCCGGTTCTGAAAAGTGAAGCCAATGTGGAATTACCTAAAACTTGCATTCTCTCTAGTGTCTATGAGAAAATGACTACTTCTCTCTTGATTTATTACCTCAGTAAACATTGTAAACATGAGTTTATGGTCTCAATCTCTAGTTTCAAGTCTTCTTCAATACAGCATGATGTTCATTTAGTAAATTATGGTCCATTTCAGACAGTGTCAGACTTTGACAACTCCTGCTCTAATTAAATAATAGTAGTAAATGATGTAACTAGCACTAGGTAAACACTACCACTACTAACACCTGTTAACTTTTCTTTTCTGTCCCACTTATTAACAGGCTAAACTGCTGCAAACATTTAGCAAATAAGCTCAGAAATTTGAAATCTCAAAAACTCAGGGTCGTGATTTAAAACAACAACAACTGAGTATTTAGTTGCTGTTAGCGTGGGACACATCCTGTTTCTAATTGGAGACAGCTGGTGTTATTCATCCACCCACATGTCCTCCCATTTGCACGCCGCTTACAAAGGCCTGATATCTGGTGTCTCTCTCACTCTCTCTCGCAGTTTACAGCGCTGGGGAGACTTCATGCTTGAATGTGAATAACGACAGTTCCCTGCATTGTTATATAGGAGTGCTGTGCTTACAGTATATGACCCGTAGCGACAGTGGTTGTACGACAAAGAGCGTGTACACTCAGAGCTCCTATTATAGTAGCACGCTGACGGGAGGATCCAATATGTTGCACTCTGAACTGAAATGGTGCATTTTCATGACCTCATATTCCGTGCAGTTTCATGGTGCTTTTTCCTTTTTTTGTCAGGGTGAAATGTTTGAGGCCTTTTTTTCTATTTTTCGTGCACAAATTGGGTGCAATCTCATAACAATTTATTTATTCAGTGACTGCTGTACAATCAAAGGAAGAATTAAAAGAAAGATGGATTTCTGAAAGCTATGTTAATTTGTTGCCGCCTCAAATGTGGGTCAGGGGATTCCTTATCCGCCACACGGAAACAGTTCACAAAGAGTCACTGTGGAGACACAATAGGCCATAATTACAATATATTAATTACAGTATCCCAGTAATTGCAGCCAGTATGGTTCATGGAAAGGAATGTTTCACAAATCCTTTTATGTGCCCTCCCAGCTGCCCCACAGTAGTTTTTTTTTTTTTTTAAACTTCACAAAACAATAAAAGAGAACAGAGCACGCAGGAGATGCAGAACTTGGCCGTCTTGTAAAGCGAGAGCGTGGCGCGATATTCTGGCGGGCTCGCAGATGGACGTGGGCTAAGCCTCCTAAACTGCTGCTGCTGGCACAATGCAGAGGTAGAGTGGGAAATACCTGCTGGAGAGCTCACCGACTCTCCTTTTGTCCGCAGTTCCAGCCGTGCCAAGCTCTCTGGGAAAGATTCTGGTCCA